GTGACGCTACCAGAGAAACAAAACAAAAAAAAAAATAATAGTTTTAACCAATTTTCCAAAGAAAAATAATGATGGTGGCGATGATGACGATAGAACGTTCGTGTCGAATTTGCGATTTCACGAGATCAACGGGTTCGTCCGCATTATGAGCGGATGATTTTTCGAATCGAGAACGGTCGGCGTAGCGGCAGATGAGGCACGTTATAAGTATGGAAAACCGTTTTTGGTCATCGACCATGCCAACCGCTACCGAGTGCGGTAATCGTTTTTCCTTACACGGTTCACCGGGTAATAACTCGAAAAGAGCATACTGCGGAGTGGGAACTATAATATACAAGTTTGTTATTATACATTTTTTTTCTACTCTACAGAAAAGAAAACGGCAATCGATTTGTGTCATCGGTAGTCGGTGGACTGTGAAGGACATCCGTAGGTTCCACGGCAGTAGAAGACACGTATACAAATTTTATTTTTTACTCGTTTGTGAATACATATTGTCTATATAGAAATAAAGCGACATAATCACGAATCACGAACATCGACAGTATTCGGCATTCGGTTGCTCATTATCAGACCTATATATATCATATTATATATTATTATACAATTCAAAACCACAACATTAATTGTGTCTTCGATTTACAGTTAAAGTGTACAAAAACATAATATCATTATAGTAAGTACTATATACAATGTACATACTATACGATACATATTGATATTAGTACGACTAATATGGATTTTTTACCAATATTTAGAAGGTACCTCTAACAGAATTGTTATATTAGTATGATTAACTATAATCTATATATTAATGATTAGTCTATACATATTAATTACATTTACAATTTACTTACTAGTAATGATGTAACTACTACTACCTATATATATTATATAGATTACACAGTTTTCGATAACAACATTTTTTAAATTTAAGTGAAAACGATTTTTGTGCCTAGTCAAAAAATGATTTGAAAAAGTAATATGATATACGGCGTTATTATAAATATAAGCCTGAATATATATGTCCACAGTATTATTCATAAGTAAAATTATAACTATACACATTGCACATTAAATTACAATTGATATTTTTTTTATTAGTTTTTTTTTTAAGAAATTTACTCAAAATAGTTATTGTACGCATTTTTACTACACAATACACACATTGTGTAAAATTTAACATCAGCCCAAGTTCTGATAAATGAATAATTATTTTACTAATTTGAACAATATATTTTTAAAACTATATACAACGCATATTATGATATAGGTTGCAATATTATTATTATGACGTAGGTATAGGATATATGACGCAAAATACAAATTAAATAATTTAACTACTTTATAATCTATTCTATATATTATATAAGCTACAAAATAATTATGATACATAATACATCATAGATATCGGTTTATAAGTTATACCTAACGCATTACCCTGATCATAATTTATATTTTATATGCACTACGCTAAGCAAAAATATATCTTTTACAAACACTGCAATGTAATTATTTGTAACACAATGTTCTATAAATCTCTAAATGCTAACATCTATCATAACTTAGTTAGTTATCATTGCTGTTAGTAAAACTTAAAAAAATATCACTTAATTGCCTATATCAAGTCCTTTTTGGTACCTACATATCTTTTGATTTTGGCTACATAATTAACTACTTATGGGGAACCTTGTTTTAAATTGTCAATGCTTAGCTATAAAAGTTGATCATTTTATAAATGTTTAACTACAAAATCATTTTGAAATTTGAAATTTGATAAATTTTGTCAAAACTCAAACTTTAAATGCTAATAAAAATTTGTCCCTATGTATTTTAACAAATAAATTTATTGACAATTGTGGTAAAAAAAAAAATGTCCGTGAACGGTTCAAAACGAGTCAAAATATTTTGAAAATTGTATCAAGTATGGAAATTAATAAAATGAACATATGGTGTGAATTTGTTTGTTTGTTTTATGGTGTATAGAAAATTCTTATATAATCATTCAGTGAAAATTTGTTTAAGAGTTACACCAAAAACCAAAATCGATTTTGTCGAAAAAATTCCCGTTTTTTTTTTTTGTCTCGGCGCTTTTGAAAATAGTGAAAATTTTAAATTTTGACCTCCTCAATGCACCAACTAAATTCATGTTTCCATCGAATAAGATATACTGAAGTTGAAAATCTAAGCATTATTCGACCACTTATCGTGGTCACAAAAAATAAAAAAAAACATTGTAAAATCAATACATTCACATCGCTCCACTCGGAATCTAAAATGTAGAAATTGTGATACAATTTAGATATTAATAATGAAAGTTCACTGTTCAGGATACCGATGGATAATAATTAATAATCAACTAGGTAATGTTCATTTATATTAACCATACACGTGACTATAATGATTAATGACTAATTGGTAGTGCTACAGTGCTACACGATTTCACGATATTGTATAAAAACTGTACCTTTATATTTACTTAGTATTAAAAAATATTATATTTATTACGAACCAATGATTTATAAACTAGGTGAGTTAAAGTAAAAAAATATCGAAAAATCCTATCAGAGAATAGAGATAACCTTACCTTTAGTTACCTTTAAAATTGAATTATAGGTCAATTCAGTTTAACGTACGAAACAGGACGAACGTTAACTGGTAAATATAAATGTAGGTATTAACTGATATATTTTACTCACTAGTAAATTAGTGTAGGGTCCTCTTAACGATTAAAAAAACGAATCAATTTAAAATTATAAGCATTTCGTTTGATTTTTTTATTATTTAAAAAATTGTTGTTTCTTTATAGCAAATACAAATTGACTTTCTAAACATCATTCGTGTACTTGCGTACCACTTTATCAAGCGGTCAGGCTCATACTAAGGTTAATTTTCATGGTAACATAATGTGTATCATTATTTATTTATTTATAATGTCAAAACTATTCTGATGGTTTATTTTTGAATATTTTGAAATTTCCACTAAAGAACGGTACAGTTTTCACTCAAATAGCGAGTATAATATAATATAATATAATATATAACAAACTAAATTATTCCTTATTAATGGAATTATATTCCAATTAAAAACATATGGCAAGACAGTACGTTAAATCAATTCTATAATACAAAAAAAAAACAATTAAATATAATATTATAATATCATAAGTTAAGAAAACAGTTAGATAACTTATCAAAGGTTAAAACAAACATACGAGTATCTAAGTAATTTATAGACTTTCCTAAAGACATTAGTAGGTACTCCTTAATAACCCCTTCCAAAAATAAATCCTTTATTTGCTGCCGAATATGTACTAAGAACACATTTTTAACTACTATGACCTAAACATATTTATTCCATTATTTGATACACTGATTATACAGATATCTACATTTATATTTACAATATTTGTAAATTTAGACATTTAAACTGATGGATAGTAAAGTGTCGGTTGATTATATTCAATTAAACATGGCATATTTTTTTGGTTTTCAATTGCAATGGTTAGTTTACGCTGACGCACACAGCTATAGGCCTACCCATGATTTAGCATAGACGAAGGAAAATTCGGGCGTTACACTATAATTCATGGAAATCATCAGGAAATAAGGAAATCTATTCTCGGCCATTGTCGGGCTGTTATAATGCTGCTGCTATTATTATTATTGTTATTATCATGTTCCCTATTGATAAACAACATAGATTCTATGAACCATGTCCTAGTCCAGCGGGGAGCATGATGCAAAAGAAAGTGGAGAAAATACGACAAAGTGATGGAAATATTCGAATATATAATGTTATGAAAAATGAAAAAAAGTAAATAGCACTTTCTATTTGAATTCATTGTCAAAGCACTTATAACATACGGTTTCCAAGTCATTATTATAAAATCTATATAGATCTACTTTTAAGTACCTACAAATATAGGTAATAGGTCCATACAATTATTGTAAGCATTAAAAACACAGTTTATTTTCTTTAAAGATACTATATGTATACTAAGAGTTAACAGGTAATTTACCATAACTTTATAGGCACCTACTCAAAGTAAAACGTAAAACAATTACGAATGTTTAGATTTTTATGTAGGTACTAATAAAATAATTCTACAAACCACAAAAGTTAGTAAAATTTATATAATTTATATTTTACACATTTAATTACTTTAATATTGTTTTGTTACAATTTAGAAAAAATCAAAATAGGTATTAACGATATTATACGCATCCATTATTACATGTTATCTTTAATTTTAATAAATTTCTTTTTGTGATTATTAATAGGTAGGTACCTACTACCTACTTAAAAATTAATTTAAGATAAACTATATTATAATACATACATACAATATATTATAATTTTATCTAAAACATCTGGGAAACCTTGACTACCTACTGCCTACACCTAACGTTTTTTTAATAACAGAATAATTTTATAATAATTTGACAAAAACATTATTTTAAGATTTCAATATGAATTAAAACGTATCACAAGGTTAGGTTACAAGACGTGAACAACTAAACTTTAATACTAGTTATAGATAAATTATGTAGGTATATCTTATTCTAATAGATATTGGCTATTACTATTTATAAACATCAAACACATTTTAAGAATATTTAGTGTTATTAACCATCTTATTTTTTTGCGAATAAACAACATTTTTTTAGTTTATAGCCATTTAAATTTAAAAAAAAATAATTTTATAGTAGAGTTATTAATCGATATTCACTTATAATCGTTCTTTGAATGTTATGAATTTATGATCAATATTATTATTACTTTCGAATTAAAAAAAAATAATTTTACACCAGAGTGCAATACAACACGAGTAACTATACAGTACGTAGTCTCTATGTTTTATCAGTACTTTTTTTTTTCGAAATGTTAAAAACTTATTTTCGTTATGATCACCAGAACACTAAAATTATTGTTTGTCACGTGCCGGCGTATGCCGTATTTTAGAAAATACAATCGAGAAGCGGTGGATAATACTCACTTAAAATTCCAATTGTCATCATATTGTGTGTTCTATTTCAAGACTTTGTTCTGTTATTGTAAAATAATATTTCCAGTCATGTTACTGTAACGCACCATTACGTCAAGCCAGCGTTCTATAAAATTCCAAATCACAGGGTGGAAAGTATATCTTTTGAAAATAACACAACTCGTAGCCCTGAAATAAAATAAATTATAATATTATCAGCCAGGTTCATATTTTTTATTGTACTTATTCGATGCCTAATTATATTATATCTTATTACATATTATCCCATAAATGTTGTGCCAACAATGTAAAATTAGTTGGCCCGGGCCTACCTATGTATTAAAAATTAATTGTTGTTAAAAGAAGTGGTTGTGATATCGTACATCCGTACGTGATCTACCAAACTTGTCTTAAGCAAACGCGATTTACCCAAAAAAAGTATTGAACTACCATATTTATATAGGTAGATTAGATTTAATTTTTATTTTATAATGGCTAGTATAATCAATTGACATATTGATATTATTTTTCTCTTAAACTAAGGAAATTGGAATATAATGTATTCTTGGATGGATGAAGTGATCGCCACCATTAGCCACAACTTAACTTCCTTTCAAGTAAAGCTGAATCTCCATTTTTTTACTTTTATATCGTACTTTTATTTATTTCAAGACACTCTAAAGAACCTAAATAGACTAAGTATGTACTCCTGTAAGTATTTGGATCAATGAAATGTTGGATATGATTCACTATTTTATTTGTATAGGTACTATAGTAAACCCGTGTTCATTTACTAACTACTGTGCAGGCGTATGCCCTACATTGGTCACTAAATCGTCGTTCCTGGTTCAACTTCTATCTTAATTCTTTGAATATTTTTCAAAAATGTACATATTTCTGTCTAATTCTTCAACTGTTGGTACTAACATAAATCAAATACCCATGGTCAATGCATCCGAAAACACTAATTTTGTGGATTTATCTCATTTTCTTCAGTTGATAGTTGAATTTCGTCATTATATTTTAGCGGTTCTATTTCTTCGTTCCCGGTTCTTCGGTCAGCTGTGTATAACAAACGTTATCAGTTATATTAACTTTTTCCTTGAAAAAGAGGTTCAACGATATCGATTTTGGAAAAACAATCGACTATCTACACACTACAACATATTTACACAACTATACAAGTTATACCAATCAAGTATCAACTGCAATAATATACAGTATAGTTACTCCAAATTGTTTAGCATTCAGTTAAATGCACCGAATTAAGGTTGACTCAATACCACACCAATTCTATAATTTCTGTAAGCGTAGAAAACGTTAATAAGATATTGTTACGACGGTACGTCGGAATGGTTATTGTCGGAAAGTGTTATTATACTTATTCCTACAGAACACAATGTAATGTATTATCACTTATCAATATTAGTTTACTTTATCAAAAATGAATGATAAGCTATACAAAACAAATTATTTAAAACCATGACAAAATCATAAGAAAACAAAGACATTTTCCGATGCTTGGTATAATGCTACTGACTTATAGTTTTTCTTATAATTTAAATAGATTTAACCAAGTGGTAACTTTTTTACAACCTGTAGCTGAGAACCAACCGGAAAGCTATACCAAAAAAAATAGTAATTATAGTATACATACCTACTTTATTTATATTTGAATGTATATTCAATGCCAATTTGCTCATACATTATACATAATTAATTGATACGCCAATTAATTTGGCAATAAACCAGACACCCGATTAGTTATTGAGTGCAAACTTTATGATTGAAAAGTATATTCAAGATTTTTTAAATAGTTCTAATTTTAACAAGTAGTACACTACCACTAGTTTTAGTCGGCCAATTCACTAAAAATAACCTACTGGAACTTTACACGGAGTATTTGGCCACCGATGTGGCTCAATTCCAATTGTATGTTATAAATTTGGATAAATTATGTAGAGAAAATGTTTATTTGAATTATATCTATACCAATAACCATATATTTTAAAAGGTACCACCTTTTCTGTATAACCATTTTATTCCTCTAAATTATCTCCCTTCATAAAAACCATTTTATTTTAAAATTAATTTAAACTTTTATTATTTTATTTACATGACTTTATTGTGATTACGCAATAGACGATGTTGTTGAAGTGTTTAACGTTGTTCTTTGCATAAAATCAGTCGAAATAAATAGCATTGCCCCAGATTAGGAAAGCAAACAATTCCAAAGCGATTTTACTTATACTAACAAAAGTGGTATACTAACTACCATACTGGACATACCTAAATAAAATATAGAAATATAACAAATAAACTAACTTCAAATTGCTATAAACATTTAGTTTTTTTTTTATAAACTATAAAAAGTATTAACAACGTTAGACAGTCATTTAGACGTTATTAATTACATAAAAGTTGAATAATTAATACCTAGTTATTAGTTTATTAAAATTACATTGTCAACTTATCAAATATATAAATCTATTAAATACATATAATATAACTTGACTGTACCTACACTCTTTGAGTAATAACTATTATTTTATACATACTTCGGAAGTTCTTGATCAATAGGTATTCTTAAATACCTACTGCTAAGTAATTAGTGGAGTATGAAGTCTGATTGAATTAATAAACGTTTAAGAACCTACGTATTTATTAAAGCATTTAACTATTATATGGATTCAAATTGTAAATCCATAATAAATATAATATGTCTACCTATCCTCTGTCCACCATCAAAAAAATAACTTTACTGATAATAGGTATTACCTAAGACATTATTATAGATAGGTAATCATTAATAGTAAATACTTTTAGGTATAAGAATTTACTGATTTAACACAAATAATTAATCTTTTTAGATTTTATGTACCTATTGGCTATTGAAGAAATGCGTTTCCATCACTGGTTTATTAATAGTAGAAGGTACCTACCTAATATATTTAATTATTAGAATAATCAATATAGGTACTTAATTATAATTGATTGATCACAACAGAATACTAATGATCTAAAATAAACGAAATATATATGTCCTCAATACTTAAATGGCTAAATGTTCCGGAAAAATAAAAACGCAATGAATTGCAGAATAATTTTAGTCGTTATAAAATACCAAATTATTATTTTATTACTAAAAAAATAAGTAGGTGCATGGATTTCAGTCGATTTTGCACAGTTGCCTAAGTAGGTATATACTATTTTAAACGCATCCAGGCGCTTAGTCTTTGCCTGTCATTTGACACGCGTATACTAGTGGACCGTTAAGTAAAAATGAGTAAATAATTAGGCAGGTACGAATTTTTTTTAACATGGTTCTCTGATTATTTCGTAACATTTGAATACACTTCCCATGAAGTATGAACAGATATATTACCGTAAACCATTGCTACACTTTTAACTGTTGAAATTCAAACCATATCACCGCAGTCCGCAAGTGTATTTTATTACGATTGAACGGGATACCAAAAAAAAAAAATGTTTAAAAATGGTACATACAATATATACATGACATCATTGTGTACTTTTACTTGTCTATTTAAACTTCTGACATTAAATGCATTTTTGTATTGGTACCAAATTTGAAAATTTAAAACATGCAAATTACCTATCATTCTGTTATCAGAGGGTGAATGATGTTTTATGTAAATTGTTCGATAACGATGACAGGTATACTATTTGGTTGACTGGTTCAAGTACATGTTTTAAAGTTTTAACAGATATGGATTTCTGCATAGATTTCTAGTGCAGTTATTAGTTATAAGTTTATAACATTGGTTATACATACTAGTACCTATGGACAATTTATGGTTTGTACATTAATACAAAAACAGTGTGTGGAATCACTGCAAATTGCAGAAACTGAGAAACTGGTGTCCTGTCAACTCATATTCATCGTTGTCGATTCATTGCGATCGTGTAAATAATTTATAAATAAACTTAACAGTTTGACTTAACAACCTGAGGCTTCTTAATTGCAAAAAATTTAAATACAAAAAAAGTGTTATTTTAGGGAATTGTAATTGGAAATTATCAGCTATACTCTGAGTAAATAGTTATCGATTACTATATTATATTTAATTCCATTACAATTTTTTGTAATAAAAATTTGCATTTTATTTTGAAGTAATAAATGTATTCGTTAGAATACGTCTCACATTTATTACGTGAATTGAGTATGTAAGGCACATTGTTGGTCCGTTTTTAATCATTAGGTATAGGAAAATGTGTAAGACACTAAGACTGGTATGACCTATAAGTAACCTAAAACAAATTTATTAATGTTGGGCATAAACTTGATATTTTTTTATCGGGTGGACCTTGCCGTATAATATAATTAGATACTTTATTGATAGTTTCTTTGATGAGAATCTAATGATGTGAAGCTTGGAAAAACGTCAAACGCTATTTCAATAATATAATGTTTTATATATTATACCTCACTTATCTCATTATTTTTCATTCTTTAAATAATAATAGGTACCTATATGTTTGATAATAATAATATAGACCACCTATTGTATTGAAAATATGTTGGGTACCACGTAGACCTTGAAAATTTATAGACCACGTTAAAAAATACGTAAAAAAAATATAGAATTTTGAAAATATGTATTTGTCATTGCGCAACCACATAGGCATAGAAGCACTTATATATTTTGGTACTTAAAGTATGACACAAAACAAAACAGTAGAATATTATTACAGGATATCCATCAATAATATGACGAATGAGTAGTGCCGATATTTATAATACTATCTAGAGAACGTTAAAGTAGGCAACAGGTATTTATCATATTAAAGGTACAATATATTATAATTTATAATATTGTAATATGTTATTTATTTTACTCGCGATATACATATAATATCCATTGCAGAACATCCAATAGAAGTAACACATGAAAAACATGAAAAACGAAATTAAATTGTAGGTAGGTGTATAGGTATTCTATATACGTTCAGTAGGTAGGTACAGGAAGTGAACAATATACAAATACAAATATCTATAAGAAAACTTCTTAG